TTGGAGTAAATTTGCGCTGAAACTGAATTTAGTATTAGTCCAAATTCATATTACTAAACATAGATTTAGCAAAGGTTACCTTGTACGAGGTTTTACGGAGTAATATTTACTCCTAGAAGGTAGTAGTAGGCTTTGCTTATTCTCTGTATAACATGAATTTGGATTAAACCTAAAATTGAAATTTTAGCGTAAACTAACTCTGACGCTAAAACTTGCTTATTAATAGCACTGCCCATATGTATATATCTATAAATGACTTTCGATAAGTATTCAACAATGATACAGATAACATTCATAATGAACACTGTGTAAAAATCGTTTGTTAATTTTTAGGGTTCTTTAGTTCCCTTAGTAAACCCTTATAGTTTCGCCATGATCGTCTATACGTCCGTTCGTCCGCGGTTTAGCTCAAAAACTATTGGTACTAGAAAGTTGTAATTTAGCATGAGTATACAATACACGTTAATACGCAGAAAAAGTGGTAAAGTAAAATTTCTACATTTCTATACATTGCTACGAGTACTATCTAATAGGGTGGTCATTTATGCCTTTGCAATAGAACTCAGAAGATCTAGACTGCACCAAATGTGTGTTACCATTATCTTTTTATTGGTAAGTTTTGCTTTAGGACACAGTTGTGGCGTTTGACCTGGGGTCAGCCATTGCATTTTTCTTTTACGGTTATCATAAAGAATCCACTTTTCATCACATGTCACAATTCATTTCTGTACCAATTCAACAAGGCGACACAAGTTTCAACACGCGTTTCTTTCTGCAGATCAATTAAATCATGAGGCACCCATTTTTCGTATTTTTTATTTTATTAATTTGACGCAAATGAGTCAATATTGTGGGTAAGGTAACAAACATTAAACCATGCCGCTAATTCCTGGGTAGTTTGAGTTGGATCGGCTTCCATAATCTCTCTTAATTCATCGTTATTCACCTGTGCGGGCGGTCTTCCTCGTGGTTCGTTCTGAAAGTTGAAGTTTCCATCACGAAAGCATTTAAACCAAATTCGCACGGTGCGTTCATTAGCAGACCCCTGTCCAAACGCAACATTGATATTATTATTATATTTAGGCTGTTTCTGCCGCCTTACTTTCGCGTCGGAACTCGTATTCAAGAATCACTCGAATTTTCGCAGTATCCATCTTTCTTATCTTAAGTTGAATAAAAAATGCAATTGAAAGTCGATATTCAAATGTATCAAATTTTTAAAAGAAGAACATCATAGTAACCACGTGAAAAAAGTTTCTTTCGAAAACCTCAAACCGTGAAGATTCTATGTCAATTCAAGGTACTGTAACGTCCGAGCACATTACTATAGATAGGGTTTACTCTTCGGACGGTTTATGGTCAAGTGCTGGCCGTTAATATTTTAAATTATTACTTTTTTATATTCGAATTCGCGTGTTCGTGTTTTGCTGGTGAATAGTCTTTTTTCCTGATCGAGACCAGCTTAGGGTGAGCATCGTAGTATAATTATTGTAGGTGTTTAACTGTAATTCATATCAGAAATAAATCAAGACTAAGGAGTGCTACCAGTTTTTTCATTGCGCCACCCACCTCCACCATTAGACTAAGTTGCCATAAGTCGCCACATGGTGGAGGCGCAACGTTTCGAAATACAGCGATACCTCTCGTAAGCCAAGCGGGGAAAAACATAAAGGGAGAAAACATATAAGCGAGAAAACGAAAAACGAAAAAACGAAATAATGGAGAAATACGACGGATTTAAAGGTGATGTGGCTGATTTTTTTTCTCAATTTAATATTATAGCAGCAGCAAATGGATATCAAGAATCGACTAAAAAAATAGTGTTGGCGGCATATTTAGCGGGACCTGCACTGTTATTTTATAATAAAATAAAAGACAATTGTGAGAATTTTCAGGAACTTGAGAAACAAATCAGCGAGGAGTTCTCTTCAACTGCAAATCCTCTCGCTAATTTTTTTGCAAGAAGACAGGGTGCAACGGAGGACCCACTTAATTACTTTTATTCTTTAGATTATTTAGCCTATAAAGCTGGGGCAGTTATTGATGATAAATGCTTCATCCAGCATTTTCTTGGGGCAGCAAATTTTCAAACTAAAGGGCGTTTAGGATCACAGTTGTATATGAATAGACAACATTTAAAGGAGGTGATCAAACAATTAAATGAAATTTATAATAGAGGGGATGGAGAAGCGGATATCAATTTACCTATAAAATTAACAAGTATTGTAGATGTTTTTCCTTCCTTTAGCACACAAGGCGGACAAGGAGATCAGCGACCTTCAACATCGATTCGACCCACTAGAACATATAGTTCTCCATCTTTCACCCCTCATAAAATCCCACCTCCCGATCAGATGATGCCCCGCCATTATAATTTCAGACCAAGAGGTAATACAAAGTCGCAGCCAATGATGTTTAAGAAGAATAGTGAAAGCCACACAAAAACAGCAGAGGCGATAGAAGTGATAGCAGAGGACAAGCAGTCGCCTCGTTTAAAGAATATATTATACAAACGTGAGTTCGAACCATTTATTAAAGTGTCATGTCGTGATAGAGAATTTATTTCACTCGTTGATACTGGTGCGTCATTTTCGGTAATTTCGGATCGTGCCGCGTATGAACTCCGTCACGATATTGTGCCATGTGATATGTCACTTCGGGCAGTGAATAATGTGAATCTCGAAGTAATCGGTAAAGTCAATTTGAAGATTATTATTGAACATGTCTTGTTCATTCATGATTTTTATGTTGTTAAGAATATTGATCGAGACATTATAATAGGACAAGATTTTCTATTCTCTCATAATGTTGTCATAGATTTTAGTAGGCATCAATTATTTGTCAAACACATTGTATGTCAATTTTTGAAAAAGTCTGAATTGATAAAAGATGATAATGTTGTCGATGTCTCTAATAATTATTTATATTCTTATAAAGAAAATGATAAATATTTGCATGAGTCACGTGTAGTGAAAGCAAATAAAGAAAATCCTAATATCAATATTTCTCTTAAGTCAAAGGAGAATAATAATAATAAAAATTTAGTTATAAAAGAGAAGTCTTCTTTAAAGAGAGAAAATACAAATAATAAGAATTTTGTTCATAGAAAACTTCATGAACAACATAAGATCTTTAGAAAAACGTTAATTTTCTATAATAGCAATTTAGATCGAAATGTGAAATCATCACATGATACTAGAAATAGAAATGTCAATTTTAATTTGATGAGTAATAGACAAAATATTTTTAATTCGTATTCTTTTCAGAAAAGTTTTCATAATAGAAAAGATAGGATACATTTGTTAAATTGTCGTAAGGAAAAAACTGACCTCATTAAGGTTAGGTTGAATAGGTTGAATATAGACAAATATAAAGACAGATTTCCTTATCAGATAATACGAACAATTGATGATAATAATATTATAATAAGAAGAATAGGAACTTATGGGATAAAGGTAGTCCATGCTAATAGAATTAAACCTTTTAGAATTCGAGGAAGTAGGTATTAGGTTAATGTATTTTCATTATTATAATAATAATTCTTATTTCTTATTATAAGTTAGGAGATAGATATTTAAAGTAATATGAATTTTTAAGTTTTCTAAGTCATATAATGATAATATTGAAGTTGTAATTTTAATTTATTTTCTTTTATTTAGGAATTATGACAGGTTCGATTCCTTGTTCAAGTTTAGTTGATAGTGAGCTAATTTCGAATAATAATATTAATCCAATATGTGTTTAATATATATTGTCATGTGAAATAGTTGTATAATTAAAGTTTATTTATTGTAAAAATTTTAAGGATGTTTGGTAATACTGTTTAATTGTTTCATGTTCATACTTCATCTGCCGGATTCCCGTAAGAGCATGATGAAGCTGGCGCGTATCCTGACGTCAGCAATACGGAGGGCCTACCATGAAGCATCTCTGTTGATAAGTCGACAGACACCCACTTCATGTGCGCGTCGTCATTATTATTGTATCGCGCGTAGTGTTTATACATAGGCATTGCGAGGGTCGGGGAACCCATCTGGTTCCATAGGAATTGGGTTTCGTCTTGTTTGATGCTGGACGTCCTTAGGCTCCATATGTCAGTTTGTAGTCTCATGGGTGTCAATGATTTATCATGGATGCTTATAAGATATACACATTGTCATTGGCCATATCCGTTTGTTTATTATTATTGGGTTGGATATTAACTATAATTGATTCGATTTTGCTTGATTTTAACTACGGGAATCGGGAATATCATATGATAGCTGTATTTAAAATAAAGTTTGTCGTGTTTAGGTTTTGACGTCATCCAATATCAAACTTAGGGTTTTGATGATTGTAGTCATTTGGGAGACGTACAGGTGCTTTTATTGAGGTTTTGCACTTGTAGAGTTTCTGCAATGTGAAGAATTCCTTAAGAAGTCTGAACAATAAAGTAGTAAATTGGAATTTCATTGCAGGAGCTGGTTTATTAGTAAAAACCGCCTCCTCTAAGTTCCTCAAGCAGGTAGGACTTAGGGTTTAGACTTCTGTAAAAATTATTCGAGCGTCTTCACACGTTCTAATAATTTTTTTTAGGGAGCCCGGGCATGTAACGTCCGAGCACATTACTATAGATAGGGTTTACTCTTCGGACGGTTTATGGTCAAGTGCTGGCCGTTAATATTTTAAATTATTACTTTTTTATATTCGAATTCGCGTGTTCGTGTTTTGCTGGTGAATAGTCTTTTTTCCTGATCGAGACCAGCTTAGGGTGAGCATCGTAGTATAATTATTGTAGGTGTTTAACTGTAATTCATATCAGAAATAAATCAAGACTAAGGAGTGCTACCAGTTTTTTCATTGCGCCACCCACCTCCACCATTAGACTAAGTTGCCATAAGTCGCCACAGTACCTATATATAAAAAAGGCAATTTTATACTTTAACCCCTAATACTAGCAATTTTCCTGCTATTATACCCGCTTATATTTTATTTAATGACTTGACATTAAATTGTGTGGAATGACAGAATTAGCGTAAGTAATAGAACTGGAATGAAAAAGATAGAGTAAAAAACATACAAACAAAGCTAGAAAAATTACGTCTTTACAATACACCCCGAGTCTAAAAAGAAGTTACAGCAATATTAGCATTATTCAGTTTTTCATATCGTCCGAAATAAAAAATCATTCATTTTTTATACGACATGTAATAGATATTTTTTAAAATCAAGGCGCCAAATTTTAAGATTTATCTGAAAATTCGCTTACCACCTAATGTGCAGTAACCTTTTTGTCGGTTTATTTTTGCTATTACTGCATTTTAGGCTCGGGACTGCAGAATACGTATTAGTAAAGACTGAATCACTGAATATCTTGAAATGTTCAAATGTCCAAGGGAAGCGATTGCTTTTAGCGATTGAATATTAATAATTATGTGTGAGCAATAAAGTCTCTATCTAAATAATACCACAAACAAGCGGGCTACAACGGAAACTGATTACGATGGAACAATTTTAAACGAAGACAATTCCATTTACAAAGAAAGACATATTTCAATGTCCAAATTTGGCGATATAAGATATATTAACAGTAAATATATATCATTGGTATAATTTTGTAGTTCGTACGTTTCAGTGATGCATCTAAATTCCAACATCGGTCGACAATAGTTTGTTTCCAGTCGGAAACTCTAAATATGTATGCGCTGTTGTAGCTAGTGTGGCCATTTGATTTGCTTTTAAATCGGGACTGAAGGTAAAATAAATACGACATTTTAGAGTCATAGACTGGGACAAAATAAATACGACATTTTAGAGTTATAGATAGGGACAAAAAAAAGGCTTTGAAATTTATGTTTATTAGGTTTCCTATCGAGGTAACTAACAGTGTTAAGTTGAAAATTTTATTTTTCATACACAAACCTAAATAACCACAGCGAAATAATTTTGAATAGATCAACGAAACTCTATTTTTTTTAACTACTTTAGAAACGAAACGAAACTCCATTTTTTTTTTAATTACTTAGCCAGTATCTTTAGGTAAGTGTTTTTATTAGGGTAAAAGCTGGATAGTTGCCTCAGTGGGATAGTTGCCGCGGTTCTAAGTACACTATGTTAGGGACGTTGGCGGCGTCAACGCTTTACTGCATTTGTAAGTGCCCCTCCCGCAGGCCTCAGTGCCATGTGAACCGTTGGTGTAGGCGCACACGTTTCGTTCGTGCGAGCGAAAATTTTCCGCGACGGAACATTAGAGGGCGTCGATATTATTTAGGTAAGTCATTTCTATTAAATATTTTTTTTAATGATGGTGGATTTAGTTAACTTTTTGTTTATTTGCGTGCATTAGAGTTTAAATTACACTGTTTATTAAGTTTCATTGTTGAATTGTTTTTATTTATTTTACAAATAAGAAAGGCAAGTATCCGTATCAAAAAGGATAGTTGCCCTAGTTAGTCTCACGGATAGTCGCCCCAAGGGCAACTATCCGCAACTGTGCATTCATTGCAGCTTTTTAAATTTTTCTTTATGATTTGACGTAATATAAATTATAAAGTACTTAAAATTTTGATTACAGAAGTGATTTTTAGTAATAAATGCTATTCTGGTTGGGCTTTAAATGTTTTAACTATTCATTGTAGGTCAAAAAATGCCTCGCAAGTATAAACGAAAATCAGGCGTGGTGCCACGCAAAATAAACTGGACGGAAGAAAGTTTATCACTAGCGTTCAAAGAAATAGAAAAAAAACAAAAAGGAATAAACGAAATATCACGAATATACGGAATATCCTCTCGAACATTAAGAAGACGCTATGCAAACAAAAACCAGCAAGTGCTAACCCAAGGTATGTCTTCGATCTAAAGTTGTATACTCGGTACTTTACGTACTCGGTAGGTACTTTACGAGAATTACGTCCCTAACTATAATGACCAGTCATTCAATAATTTTAAATAATAAGGTATCAAAAACGGTTAGTGTGTCGAAGCGAAAGAAAATGTGCTTTTAGCCGGCTTTTAGAAATTGCAATTGACTCGGGCTGCCTTATTTCTCAGGGCAAGGAGTTACATAAACGGATGAACTGAACTGTAAATGACTGCGTATAAACTATATATTTAGAAGTATAACTACATGCGTGCTTGACTGACCTAATTATAATTTTTTTCACTTCCAGGAAAATACCCTGTCCTCGGCATTGAAAATGAAAAAATACTAGTAGCTCATATAATGCAGCTCGGAGATGCAGGATTTCCTCCTGAACGAAGTACAATTCGCAAATTAGTATACGAATTTGCCGAAAAACTGGAGTTGAAGCACAATTTTAACAAAGAATCCAAAATGGCTGGACCACAATGGCTAAAAAGCTTTCTTGAGAGAAATCCCGAAATAGTTTCGAGACAAGCTGAGGGTTTATCAACCCAAAGAGCGAAAGGTCTGAATAGAGCTGAAGTTGCAAAGTTTTATAATCTACTTACAAATGTCCTAACTGAGAATGATTTGCTGGATAAACCGGATAGAATCTATAACATGGATGAAACTGGTGTTCAGCTCAATAATAAACCTGGTAAAGTACTCGCCAAGAAAGGTGCCAAAGCAGTTAAATCAGTTACTTCCGGTGAAAAAGGAGAAACAATGACTGTTGTTGCTTGTTGTAACGCAATTGGCTGTTTTCTTCCACCAGTTCTGATTATTAAAGGAGTTAATAAAAAAACAGAATTTGAAGAGGGACTTCCGCCTTGTTCAAAAGTTTATATGCAAAAGCAATCTGCATACATTTCTTCAGACCTTTTTTATAAATGGCTGACCGAACATTTTATTCCTCGTAAACCACCAGGAAAGGTATTATTAATTTTAGATGGTCATTCATCGCACTCAAGTGCTGTCAATATGTTAGAAGCTGCTCGGGACAATGACGTAGTATTACTTTGTTTACCTAGCCACACTACTTCTGCTTTACAACCATTAGATTTATCAGTGTTCGGGCCATTTAAAAAATATTATTATGCTGAGACAAACAATTTCATGCGCTTGAATCCACAAAAAAAAATAATCGGTACAATTCAGGTCAGCTAATTGGGAAGGCGTGGATTCGAGCAGCTATTCCTGCTAATGCAATTAGCGGTTTTCGTGGCAGCGGCATTTATCCAGTTAATCCAAACGCTCTGCCTGATGCTGAATTTGCTATATCAGATATTGCACTCCGGGAACTTGCGCAAGAACGAGAGTCTGATTCGCTAAACAATCAAGCACCAGGTATTTCTGGAGTGTCTGCAGTATGTGAAGGCGTCGTAGGATTTGAGCCCGATTCAGGTCTTGCAATATATCAGCGGAATAAAGCGCCTCTACTAAGCGATCAGGTCACAAGCTATGCTGATAAAAGCAAACTAGAACCTGTCTTAAATGAGACTGAGCAAAATAGCGTCAGCCAAGATCACACACCACCTAGGCCCTCTCCAAGCCTTTTAAACCTTTCTCAAGACTGTTTAGCCTTAGCAGATAGTGACATTGAAAAATACATCTTGGATGGTACTGAACCTTCGTTTCCATCGCTGATATCTTTAAATGATTCACACAATCAAAATCTTGAAAAAGAAACACCATCTAAATTTTTACATCAATCATCTCCTATACCAGTAATACCGCTGAGCATGTCTAAAAGAGCTAAACAATCTGCAGAAATTTTAAATTCCAAGAACAAGATTTTACAGAAAAAGAATAAAAAGGAAAATCTAAAGACAAATTACATAACGGTAACTAAAAAAACGACAGCAAAAAAGAAAGATTTTAAGGCAGTAAAACATAAATTACCTGGTAGCAAGAAAAGTATTGTGAAGAAAACGGAGAATCCAAAAAAAAATAAGAAGGCTAAAAAATGTATCGATATTACTAGCAGCGAAACTGAATCTGAAAACACTAATTTTATAGAACTTAGCAAAGAAAGAGTTTTAATAAAGAGAAAAATACAAATTTATAGTTCTGACAGTGAAAATGAAGAAAATGTTATGAGTCCAAAAACATCCAAAGGAAAAGCTACAGAAGGACTACCAATCAAACGGATAAAAGACAAAAAATCGACAAAAGACACTGTAAAGATATTGAAAGTCGATAACACTAATTCAAATATGAAAAATAGAAATGAAAAAGTTTCAGTTGATGATTATTGCGTAGAATGCTTCAAGAATTACAATTTTACTAAATCAATATCAGATTGGATTCAATGTGAGATGTGTCGAATGTGGTTGCATGAATCTTGTACAACATTCACAAACCATTGCATGAGATGTGGAAAGTTGAAAGCCCTGGCTTATGATGATAATTAATTCTAAAACCAAAGTTGATTGCCATATTGTTTTATATTTAAAATAAATACTATTTTATTAATAAGTTTTAAGGCTATTTTTGTTGTATTTTTGTGGTTTAAAAATGTTTATTATTTTATAATGTTGATTAGTACTTAATCAAAGACGATAGTAAATAATAAAGACTGATTACTTAAATTGATATACTTTTCTTTTATTTAAAAAATCATAGTGAGGCACCTATCCCCGCCCAAGGCAAGTATCCCCCGAGGCATTTTTGACGTCAGGCTACTATCCGCTAGAGTAGGCAACTATCCCCTTTTTTAGAGGTCAAATAAAACAGGAATTAGTCAAAGCCCTTATTAATGATGTTAACTAAAATAGGCTACTATGAAAGATCAAAGACCTATGTTTTGATATACATGTTGCATTATTCTTCATAAGTACATATTTTTTTATAATAGACCTTTTTTGAAAAGTAGGGCAACTATCCGGGTTTTACCCTATATTTTTTAATGCTTTGTTACTTTAATTACTTCTGGTTGTGTTTGTAAACCAAAGTGGTTGGAAATACCTGCACGATATTTAATTGATTGATTTATACATTTTGTGTCCTGATCAGGTGCAAATCGGGATTCATCCTCAGATCTCCGAAAATGGTGTTATCCTGCGTAAATCGAGACACTTTGCAACGCTATTTGTAGCTAACGTTACTACAATAAGTGAATGTATCTAGTTCCTACTCAAATTAGCAGTGTTTTTGTCTCTTTCGTATTTATATTCGATACGTATCATTAATGTTTATTTCGGTTGAAATTAATGTAATGTCAGTATTTACTTTTTTATTTTCCAACAGATTCACGAAGTATGATCCTTTTATCTCGCTTTTAGGTTTAGGTACGATTAAGTTAGAATTATCTATCGTATCTGCCTATCCGTCCGTCTGTCACAACTTATTTGCTCTGACACTTCTATACTAGTATTGATGCGGGTTAGATTATGAATAAAAGAAGTTGAGCGCATTGTTGTTTTAGAAGGCCCAACGTTTCTGACCGCTGGGCTGCTAAAAATCTAAACCTATTTCAGATTTAAATTAAGTTTAAATTACATTCTCCTATCAACCAAATCATACAGGAGAATACCCGGCAAGAAACTCAGTGAGTGTTGCTTTTTTATTTCATGCGGACATGTGAAAATTGGGAAATGACTTGTTTAGACTATGAAGTCTCTTTCCATCACATTGTTATATTACAATTATTCACTCATCAATTAATTCTATATTGATTGACATGCCGTATTATATATCCGTACTGATCCGTCGCTGCGGAACTGTAATTGAGACCTATTGTTGTTTACTTTATAGCACTTAAGCGATCATAAACAACGGACTGTATTAGGCGTTAACAAAAAATCTTTTCATCACGACATCCAATAAGAAGTGGTTGGTTTTCTAAATTTAATATTTGTGCGGTATCCTTGGTGCACGACTAAGACTGGCACTTCGTGTTTTTTTTTTATTCTTCTTCATCGGCCATGTGTACATACGTACTAATATTGTAGATAAGTATTATATATAAATATCAGTCTTCATATAAAACGTTGTAATAATAATCATCACCTGAAAGGTAAAATTTTGAACAATTAATTGTTAAACTATGGTTTCGCTCTAAACAAACTTTGCTGTTCATAATTTAACCTAATTTAGCTACGGCTTGAAGTTTTGTTGTTCTAATATTAGTCTACACTGCGACTATCTAAATGTTATCGTCAGTTATCGTAGACAATTTATATTTGTTTGTTTTATGGTTATGCGGAATTGTTTTTGAAAGATCAACTTAAATAAATCAGATCTGAATTATCAAATAACTGATGATTACCATTCTATGACATAAACACACGTCTAAGACAGTTTGTGAACTGATTCCAAAGTCATTCTGTACATTTATAATAAAATCTATACATATAATCTTATAAAACAAACTCACTGCAATCTGTACGCGTGCTTTTAAGATACACAATGGATTTTAATACTGTTTTTATCAACCTTGATATCGTCGTGCGATATTATAGACAATAAAAAATTGAAACTAATGACCGCATCGAGCTGAAATTTGGCACATTAATAGTAATTATGATAAAGAGGGTCATTAAGAAATAATAGGGATAGTCTGAGTCTTAATTAGGGCGTTGAAAATCATATAATCCACACAAAGTTAACTAGAAACAATATAAATGTACTAAATAATTTTAACAATAAACGTTTCAATTAAACCGCCGTATCTTAGGTTTTTCCAAATCCTCTTTTGTGTTAATACTTTAAAGATTAAAATATTTTAAATTATCTACTTATCTATCGATGTCTGCGTTCTATATTTGTCACGTCCTTTGAACACGTAAAACTTGTAGGAGAACATCATGAATATGAATTGGACAGTGGACATAATAACACATCGTTTGTGATACAAATCGGCATAATAAAGAGTATATATTGTATATTTGTTATTTACAACTGTTAACAGAATAGCAGGGGATTATTGTTATTATCTACTGAATAATTACACTATTATCTTAAACCTGATAAACTATGTTACGTTTTGTATACTATCCCTTGTGGGGTGGAATCAAAATTATTTAAAGTACTTTTGAATCATCCAAAATTATTGATAAAAATATAGAGCGAAGGAAACTCCTTTAATATAAATAACGATATTTACAAAAACCATGAATTAATTATGTACAAACAAGTCACTTTTCTTTTAACATAAAAGAATAAATAAAATAAGCAAACGATAATATGAAGAGCATAGAAGAAATCACCTATCAGTGTATGGAACACCTTAAGTCCAAGCATTCATACCATAAAATAAGCTTTAAACAAGTATTTTTATAGATGAGATTTAAGCTGATTGAAATCTAATTCTTGTAAATCGCTTGGGACTTTATTGTTGAAGCGCACACAAAGATCAACAAAGACATAGGATGGAAAGCCACAAGGTGTAAGTGTATCGTCCAACATCCTCCCTCATAACTCGAGTTAAGATCGCCTCTAGAAAATATTTCTTGATACTCCTATGTTGATAACTTATTATTTTCATACAGTTCTAAGTTCCTATGGGCTAGTGACCACTACTGATAACTATTCTAGTGTATTTTTTATCACCTAATTTTTCAAAACCAGTGATTTTTTTATGCGATATTACCTTACAAAAATATATATCAACTTAATATTCAATTGCACAACAGATCTTTAAGGTTTAATGGTAGTCTTAAGCTTAATGAATGTTCTGAATTCCAACTTTCAATTAATAACAATTAATGGACTTTTGTGCGACTGGTGTTAAGAAATTGGGATATTATATTTAATCAATTTTGCGTTCATAATGCTATGCCGGTAAATATTCATCATGAAAAATGCGTCAGTTCTATTGAGTTTGGGGTAGTTCAGTGATTAGAGCAGTCGCCCGTAGAGCGAAAGATCGTAGGTTTGAGTCCCATCTCGGGGTACCTGTGAGTGGAGGGATTTTTTAAGCATTTTTAATTAAGAAAGTCGGTTATTCTGAGGATTTCATTAAACTATTAATAACTCTTTATTAAATATCACAGTTTTAACCGAGACGTTAAAACTGATTACAGTTTTACAGTACAACAGTACAATTTCTATTAACTTAATAGAAAAATTTCAAAATGATGACACGGATGCAATCTTTAATTTAAGATAAGCAAAATTTTAGTATAATAAAAACACCAGTTATTTTCCATTTTGTATCAAGAATCCATCAATCATTTGCCTTTTCAATTAAAAAAAAAATTGTAAAAACAAAGTATCAATTATACATTATCTATCATTAGTCGTTATAATAATAAATCATAAAATATTGCTATTATTTATAATTGATTTAATATTTATTATATTTGATTCACAATCCAACACTGATAAATATTTTAAAGAAAAATAGTTAAAGAATAATAGTAAAATATCTAAGTACTTGAGAAATTTTTCAGTCTTGTTGGTTATCCGGTAACGCAATTGTGAGAGCAGTTGGTCGGATTGCGAAATATTATGGGTTTGAATCCTATATTGGGGTAGCTAGTACTGTTTACTTTATTTAATATTTCTCTTTAAACATAGCTATGATTAAAAATATATGTGGCCATAAGGTAATTTTTAAATTTATTAAATAGGTACGATATGACAATACGGATGATATATGGGTAAAAAAAGAAATGGCAATCTTTAAAATTTTCTTTTTGAAAAATGAGAATTTATTACAGTTTGGGCTATGTGTTGATTTTTATTCAGTCAATTTTCATCTCTGTATACACGTAAATAAAAAATCACATTTAACGTTGTAAGGAAGCTCCATTACAGCGTTCGTGGCATTCAGCGTCTCGAGGTCTGTCCTTTTTTATGACCTTTGTCACGTTTTTCAGAAATTGCCTCGCCTCACTTCTGTTGCCGCACACAAAGAGAACACGGCTCGCAGTGCATGCAAAAAAGTGTAGCTCATTTGAATTTCAACTCTTTCCACTTACAACTGAAGGACATCGATGGAATCCTTGCGTGCACAATTAAAATTGTTTAAAACAAACGACGTTATCAGGTAAGCGTTTGTAAAGTTATAAGTTATATGACATCTTTCGTTCCGGTTACTTGACTCAGTTTTGTAAGGAAAGAAAACTTTTTGTTACTTATATGTAATAAAAAACTGAAGTTTCAGCTTCAATACTTATGAATATTATATGTTTTGTTTACACGTTAATGTCCTTGGAATGAGTAGTGTGCTGGAGTTCATTTTTATATTCGTGACAATCGTCACGTTATAATTTCCTTAATCTAAGCATGGAAGTAGAAAATGGCGATGAAATATAATGGTATAATCTAGTGAAATGGGCTTGACGCGCGTAGGAATACTCGCATCCTTCTTGCGTGCCGTAAACAATTCCGCGAGCTTTATTGCTTGCACGTTTTATGACTTTCACTGGTACAGTATGCAATGTTATAAAACTCTGAAATAATCTCAAGGATTTAATTACCAAGAAACGTCTTTAAGCAAAAACTCGTAATTTTTATTTGCAGCCAGAGTCGACTGACGTTGTACAATAAAGATCTCGTTGATAAAAGAATTTGTTATTTCTCCAGGTTTTGCTATCCGTTTTCAACGTTTCTGTCTCAATTTTACTTAAGCAGATCATTAATCCTTATATTTCTTTGGTGTCGGATTCTTTGTTTTATATGTAAGCGAAATCCGAGTGACTTGATCAGGTAGGGGACATAAACTAACACATAAATCCGTTTAAAATTGGCGTGGCTAGGATTGCTGTTAGATAATTGTGTGCTCCGTTTTATATTCTTAAATAATATCCAAAAAGTACAGAACATCTAATAACCTGACAGGAAATACGAAACCGCGAATTTTAAACAGATTATGTGTTATAGAGCAACAGATTATGTAGGAGACATCTCCTACCCGATCAAGTTTTTCGGATTTCCCATACGTATCTTTTCAATTAATCTTTTCCAGTAATAGAGACGCAGAGGAAGAACGGTCCGTAATGGCATTACCACTCTTACTACTATCGACCCAATTTCTGTGCTCAAGTATTATCTTACCATTTGGCCTTACTTCCTATTTGGTCAAATTGCGAAAGATATCTAATTATGATAACTTATCATAAACGTCCATGCCATGACAGTAGTAACTGTGAAAGAAGGTCCGATTTTTCATTACCTAAATGGTCTGAACAAAATTACGTGAAACGTCATAAGTGTTCTGTAAGTTGAGTTCTTATTACATATA